AAAAAAAAAAAAAAGGAAATATTAAAATATATATATTTAAAATATTATAATATTAATAATAAAATAATAATGTAAAATCATCAATAATAATTTAAAATAATTTTATAGTCATTTTCACAATAAATACTGGGTCAAAAAATGTTTAAACTTTCCTTACACTTTCCTCTCACATTTTCCAAAAAAAACCCCAGTGTGAACCTCCTGCTCTAATGTAACGGTAAATGGAAAAAACAGATAGATGAAAGGTAATTTTTGAGGCAAAAGGCAACAAGATGATGAGATTGTATCGTGTCATGTCTGGTTGGGACACGGTATTAATACCTCCCTTATATATAATATATCATAGTGATAGATTCATACAGCATGAACTCTAAACCTTCACCAGTCAAACTGTTTTCATCATTCTGAAATTCTCAGTTTAAAACGATTAACTACGTGCGGCTGACTTCAAAATCCCACAAACTCCACACTCCGGACAAACCGAGCTTTCCCTTTCCCCCCTCTCACAGCCAAATTCAGCTAGACTGAGAAGAGGGAGAGATCGCGAGCGTGAGAGAGCTGGTGAAAATTGAATAAATGCCAGTCGACAGTTGGGGGGTTGTAAGCTGGAGATAAAGATTGCTTTTCGTGTCGTTTGCCACCCGGATCTCCCTCGCTCCGCTGGAGGCAAATTGATTACGTGGAGAGGCTGGGAAAGGGTGGGGAAATATGTAGATTGCTGTGGCCCTCAGTGCAGGCAGACGGGTAAAGGGCATGATGGATTTCCATTTCCATACATGAAGAGTGGAGGACGAGTCAGGGGAGGGGGCACGCGATGCGGCCACAGGGGAGGGAGAGAGAGGGGAGTGCGGCGGCGGGTTCCAATCTCACACACACTCACCCACATCCACTCAGACATCTGCCTAATGCTACATCTTAAATAGCTTTCCCCATTTTACATGCACTCAAGTCTCATTTGGTGCAGAATGAAACGCTATCATTAAAGGGAGATTTACTACAAATTGCCACAAATTCGCCATGTCACTTCCAATGATCTGTGTGTGCTAGCGTGTGTTGAGCGGAGCCCCGCCTGGGAGGAAGTATACAGGGAAGGAAGACGGCAGCAGTTACCCAGAGTTCCACACTGAGCATCGATGAAGCAATGCAGTGACTGCTCTGTGTACTTCAGGAATGCCTAAATCTAGTTCAGTATTGTGGATGCAAATGTTGATGTAGATTAACTAAAATGGAATCATTTTAATTTTACTGCAGATTAACAAGAAAGATATCAAGAACTTTTGAAATACTACTAAACCATGACTAACACCATGTTCGAACCAGATGATAAAGCGAGTGATAAAGTGTTTTTATTAACTGTTTTGATCACTTATTTTTATTTTATTGTCAATTGGGTAGCCCCACCCACAGTGTAATCTAATTGGTACAAAATGATGCTCAACATAGTTATCAATTAAAGGGATAGTTCACCCAAAAATGAAAATTCTGTGCAGATAAAATACTTGAGTCTGGTTATGGCTAACATTATGAAATCAGTGAAGTATTACTCTCATTTTACTCACTTAAAGGCATCTAAATCTCTATATTCAATTGCAAACAGCCTTTCAGCCCATCTCTTTTTTTCTCTATATCCTAAATCTGTATTAAGAGATTGGACTGCCTATAGCCTGGGAAAATAACTCTCTCGGCTATAAGCAGGGGTTAAAAGGAGCGCAGGAAAGGCTAAATCACGGGCCTGTAATGCCGAGCGGCATCCAACCCTGACAGACCTGGAGCAACGATGCAATTTCCTTAAATAACCACCACTATCAAACAGGCAGGGGCGACAGAGGCCCAGAGCCATGTCAGTGTCCACAGTCGCTGCCCGCAGGGGAGGGCGGCCCACTGCCATTTATTAATTATTAAAAGATAACTCCTCACCGCCGTGTGATGGATAACACTTGTGCTGGAAAGACATCCTGCTGAGAATTAATATCTCCCTCTCTCTTTCTCCCTGTGTCCCTGTTTGAAGCAGAGCAGCATAATCTATTAAAACAAAAGGGGGGGGGAGTATGTAGCACAATGCGCAGCTTGGGCTTTATGACATGTCTGTGACCTATAGATTCAAACGGTATTGTTTCTTGTTATGGCTAATGTACCTTCAAGCTCACAGGGTGAAACTTCCTGCCTGGTTTGGGCGGACGCTGTATAAGAACACAGCGATTTAACCGGGTCAAGTTGATGTACCAGCAGTAGCGTTCTGGGCTGTTTTCTCCAGGCTTCCTTGGCCTGTCTGAAAGCCTCAGGCAGTGGATGAATGACGGATACTGTGCTGGATCTCTGTGACCATCCCACCATGCTTAACCTGGCCACATCAAAGGCCTAAGCGCATGTGGGCTGATGGATGATAGGGTGCAAAAGCACCTGTTCTGCTGCTGCACTTTGTTATCACTGGAGCATTACACCAGTAGCAGGTGTCTTCACTGCTGATTTTTAGACCAAACATTTATGTGAGGGAGAGCAGCCAATGTGCTTCATTTGTTTGGGAAACAGTGACAAGAACTGATGGAGCTGTCAGAAGACGGCGGGTATAGATGTGTGAGTCTACCTGATGTGCATGTGGGTGAGCCTCTCCATCTCCTGTTCCATGTGCTCCTGAAGTTCTCCTGGACGCAGCAGCACCTGACAGATGGGGCAGATGGGAGCCTGACTGTCATAGAGTGACACCTTCTTCTTACCTGAGAGAAAAACAGAAAGATAGAACAAGAGAAGATGAGGTTTATTTATAATTATGAAAGAGTTTGCGAAGTTTGTAGACATTCAAGATTCCATTGTTGGTCAGAGCCAGTGTTGTTATTGTTAACTACAAATGTTACAAAGAGACCAAATCCCCAAAGCATAATTTAAAAGAAGATTACATCTTTGGAGAGACCACGTAAGAATGCCCTAGAAGTGTTGGCCCAGTTTTTATATTGTAAATTTGGAGATGAGCATGGGACAGATGAGTGCTCAAAGTATTTTCCTCTCTCTCTGGACTGTGTGGATTAAGTGGCTCAGATTTCTGCCGAAGGAGAATCCGTCATCCTCGGCCTCCTGTCTCCTGTTCCCTCATTAAACTAGATCCACAGCTCCGCACAGACAGTTACGCCACTGAGCTTGTGACACTTCAACTGTATTTCGTACACACACACACTTCATATACACTTATCAACTTACCAACGGACAACATCACATCAGATGCTGTAATATAAAGTACAATTATTCTCAGTTAATGTGAAATGCACAGTGAATTAAACAACTAGGCAGTTTCAACAAATACATATACACTGATGATTTTGGAATCCTCGTGAGGCTTTTTATAGGATATCCACATAAACACAAACAGACATTTTATCATAAACAAGTAGGTATGCGTACGTGCGTTCACATCTGAACACATGGCTATATTTATTTTTTACAAAAGTCCATCCGTCTGGGTGGGTGAGTGTCTCATGGCTGCCTGTGAGTAACTAATACATCTTTAGCATGTGAATTCTCTAACGTGCAGCTCTGTAAATGAGAGAAAAAACACCTCCTGTTTCACTCTTATATCTCTCAATCTCTCAGATCTGGAACTAGCCAATCAAAGCGACTATTTTTAGCCCTCTGGGACAATAGATCCTCCCTCAAACAGGATATCCTGGATGAACTCACTGTTACCGACAGACTACAGCTGTAAGTCACATGGTGAGTCTGCTTACCTAACTCAAAGCGCAAATACATACACAAACAGGAAGTGAGGAAATCACACCTTGGAGATAAGCACATACTAAATCATTTACGAATAAGATTTATACACTTTCTTCAAATAACGTAAATGGTTTTAGATAGTGGTCACGTCCTGCTATTTTACACTCTCAGTTCACTGATAACATTTTATTTAATGGGCTTAAGTTAACAGACATAAAGATGTAAAATCTCCTTCCATTTCACACAGAAACAGCAGTGTCCAATTATCAAAGTGTGTAAGTGTGTAACGAATGTCTGGTGTTTTGCAGTTCAGTTGTAATGTCTGGGAGGCAGCTATTGATCTGTTGCAGTAGGGGTTAGTGAGCATCTTTTCTCAAGATGATGAGGTAACTTGAGGGCAGGTTGCAAACAGATGTACAAACACATACATACACACACGAAGTGGGGCTGTAATCCTGGTTCTTCTCTCTACATAAAGCCCTGGGCTCAGTATGAACCCGTCCTTGACTTCAGAGGGCACTGTTGTGTTTGTCTTGACATGATGTGTGCGCCGTTTGAGAGGGTGATGATCGCTAACGGTCGAGTCTATGCACACACTCACGCAGACAAACATACGCGCAAACACATGTAAACGCTGACACACACGCGCGCATACATGCAGCAAAGTCCCTCCGGGGGCACATATCCTCCGCTCACATATTGGCCTGTCAGAACTATTTCCTGCAAGAGCACAGATTCATCAGTGAGGAGCTAGCAAGGGTCAGTGTTAGCATCCCCAAAACTCCCCCTCCCACCCCCATACATCTCTCCACCTCCTCCCTTTCCTCTCCTCTCCCCAGTCCTGCGTGCCTACGCATACCCATCCCCTATTCTCCAGCACCACTACTTAACGGCCCCACACTCTGGACACTTTAAGTGACTTTGAAAAATAGGTAATCGATTACAATTCTGTGTGTCTCTGTTTCTCTCATCACCACCTTTTTCTCGCTCGCCCCTCTCTCCCCTCCCTCCCAGTCTCTGTCCAGCAACATCCTGCACATCTATTTCTCATTTTCTGGCCCTTTATTTGTTTTCCGTGCTCTCCCGTCTTATCTCCTCTCACCTATTTCTGTCTCTTTCTTTCTTTCTTTCTTGATATATGTGTGTGTATTATATATTATTATACAGTATATATTATTTACTACTAATAATATAAATAATAATATACTACATAAATACATAAATAAAAAAAGAGAAATTTTGAAATTTAAAGGCAAATATATATATTTTTTAATATTATTTTAATTAATTAATTTTTAGTAAATATTTTAGAATTTCTTACATCTTTGGTTAAATGCAGATTTTTGGTAATATTTTTTAGAATTTTTTTTTGTAAATATTGATTTTAAATAAAACGAATGTACTTTTTGTAAGGTTTCTTTCGTGAATATGCTTTTTTATACATTATTTTTTTGTAATTTGTTATACCCATCATCCCCACATCTCCCTTTCTCCCTCTCTCTGCTCCTCTCTTCAGCAGCGGTCAGCTTTATTGCCCTGACAAGATAATTTGAGTCGTGCCATAGCAATCACCGTCTGCAAGAGTAAACAAAGAGAGGTCCAGACCCATTCTAAAGCAGATAAATCTTCAATCCAACTCTTTCTCTTACGTGGCCATTTGCAACATGAAATCACACAACCTGACATATGAGTTTGTGTAGGAATGACATAGTCTGTTCACACAGTGTCATTATCATTTAGCTCTGTTTATTCTTTACGTTTTTACTCATATGTTTACACATTGTTAATATGTAAAATCTAAAATGTACTATTTAAACACACAGTAACATGAGTGCTATTGTAAATCGTGACTGTATCTGTGCGTGTACTGTATTTTCTTGTGTATTTAATTCATTTCTTTCCTTTTTTTGTCTGTTGACATGTCAGATGGTTTACTGACAGAGTGTTACTCTGACTCTGTTATGTGTGCATGATGGGATATGTTAACAGAGCGTGTTATTGTTTGTATGTGTGCCCCTCTGTCCGTGTGTGAAGAGAAAATGAGTGTGTGCCTCTTGAAACTGGCTCTTTAATTCATCCGTACACAATCAATGGGCTCAGTAATGGAGTCATGATGGTTTGGTCAAGCGCTTTTCGGGACCTAAACCACCTCCCTGTCACTTGTCTCCCTGAAAACACACACACACACACACACACACACACACACACACACACACACACACTCACAAACAGAGAGCTGGTCATTTGGCAGCTTTGATATTAACGGAGAGGATTCACACAAAAGAACTAAATCATCTGTCTGTCAGCACAGACTGATGAACGCCTATATAGTGAAAGGGTGTGTGTTTGTGAGTGGACATGGGCTTGCAAATACCTGAGGCCATGTCAAAGTTTCGCATACATCTGTGTGTGTGTTAGTGTGGAGGCCTAATGTTTTTCTTATAGACCGCCCCATTATGTGTGCATGCAGTGTGGTGTAGGTGTCCACATCGTCCCCAGAGAGGATTGACTAATAGAGACAGCCAGTGATTAATCATGTCTTCCCTGTGAGGGCTGGAGGGACACAAACACAGTCCTCCAACCTTGGACACACCCTCACAAACTCATTATTTGTTATACTTTTGTACATTTCCAATCATCTTTAAATTATTTGCTGTACTTTGTATATTTCTTACAACATTTGTACATTCCTTGTATGCCATATATATATATATGTGACCCTGGACCACAAAACTAGTCATAAGGGTCAATTTTTTGAAATTGAGATTTATACATCATCTGGAAAATCTGGAATCTGAGGGTGCAAAACAATCAAAATATTGAGAAAATCACCTTTAAAGTTGTTTGTATGAAGTTTATAGCAATGCATATTACTAATCAAAAATAAAGTTTTAATATATTTACAGAAGGAAATATAAAAATTAGTAAAAGTATTATAAAATTATTATATAGTCTATATATCTATATGTCTATCTATCGGTCTGTCTATCTATATCAGTCTATATCTACTACATATATAATAATCCAAACACTTTGGCAAAATGCTGAATTTTTTTTTTTTAGTAAATAGATTTTCTACATGATATTCTAAAGATATAAAATATATTTTAAATGTTTCCCAAATGGCTCTGATGATTTATTAATTAAACATATTTTAAAATATTACTTATTTTATACATTTTTTATTAAATTTTAAAAAATATTACTTATTTTATGTAATTTTTAAACTTTTTTATTTAATTTAAAATAATACTTTTGTATGATTTTTAGTAGTTTTTGTAATACTTATTTTACTAATAACTATTTTCAAATATCTAATTTCTTTAGTAAAATGGTAGAAAACACATTTTATTAATTCAGAGTCACAATAGTCATCTTTCTTTTCTAAAATCTGGTGCACCCTGCACCAGACCTCATGTGGTCTCTAAAGTGTCCCATTCCTCTTGTCCATTTCTTATTCTTTCCTCCATCTCTCTGTTCCCCCTCTTTCTCTCTCTAAGGGAGTGAGTGATGGCTAGCAGAAGACAGAGAGATAAATCCTGAGGCATGGAGGGGGTTTGGCGCATGCTGCTTGTCAGCGCGTTAAAGATGATTAATGTGGGATGCCCCCCTGTGCTGGACCCCTGCGTGGAGAAAGGTGGGGACTCCGTTTAATCTGAAGGGCCGGCGAGACCAGCGTGCAGAGAGGGGCAATAACAAGGAAATAGGACTGACAGAACTTTTTAGTGCTCAGATTTCTCACCTAAATGCCATGCTGTGAGAGAGAGAGGGAAAGAGAGCGATGTCTGTGACAGCTCTGACTGAGTGCTGGCCTGATCTTCTCTAATTTGCCAAGATGGATGGCTCTCTCTTGCTATCTCTCTCTCTCTCTGCTTTCAAAAATCCCCTCTTTTCCCCCTCTCTTAGCCATAGCACACCTTTATCACAGTACATACGCTCACCCGGACCTCTATTTTGATAGCACA